CAGTCACACGCTCTCAGTCACACGCTCTCACAGTAATGCTCTCAGTCACACGCTCTCACAGTCACAGTCACACGCTCTCAGTCAGTCACACGCTCTCAGTCAGTCACACGCTCTCAGTCAGTCACACGCTCTCAGTCAGTCACACGCTCTCAGTCACACGCGCTCACAGTCACACGCTCTCACAGTCAGTCACACGCGCTCACAGTCACACGCGCTCAGTCACACAGTCACACGTTCTCACAGTCACAGTCACACGTTCTCACAGTCACAGTCACACCCTCTCACAGTCACAGTCACACGCTCTCACAGTCACAGTCACAGTCACACGCTCTCACAGTCACAGTCACACGCGCTCACAGTCACAGTCACACGCGCTCACAGTCACACTCGCTCACAGTCACATGCTCAGTCAGTCACACGCTCTCACAGTCACACGCGCTCACAGTCACACGCGCTGCTCTCAGTCACACGCTCTCGCTCTCACAGTCACATGCTCTCACAGTAATGCTCTCAGTCACAGTAACATGCTCTCAGTCACACGCTCTCAGTCACATGCTCTCACAGTCACAGTCACATGCTCTCACAGTAATGCTCTCAGTCACAGTCACATGCTCTCAGTCACACGCTCTCACAGTCAAACGCTCTCAGTCACACGCTCTCACAGTCACAGTCACAGTCACATACTCTCACAGTAATGCTCTCACAGTCACACGCTCTCACAGTCACAGGCTCTCACAGGTCACATGCTCTCACAGTAATGCTCTCAGTCACAGTCACATGCTCTCAGTCACACGCTCTCACAGTCACACGCTCTCAGTCACAGGCTCTCACAGTCACACGCTCTCACAGTCACAGTCACACGCTCACAGTCACACGCTCACAGTCACACGCTCACACAGTCACACGCTCACACAGTCACACGCTCACACAGTCACACGCTCACACAGTCACACGCTCACACAGTCACACGCTCTCACAGTCACAGTCACAGTCACATGCTCTCACAGTAATGCTCTCAGTCACAGTCACATGCTCTC